TTAAGGGCAGCTCCCATGATCATATTCGAAATCAGCATGGTCGATAACCTATAACTCACTAGATTTCGATCAAAAAGCGGATTTCTGAGTACACGGATTTCTGAGTACGAGTACGAGTACTGAAGATCGAGTACGAGTAAGAGTACGAATATTTTCCGGAAAGTACTGGACTTTTAAAGTATTTTTTTTTCTGAAGAAGCCGGTGAATCCGAGTAAATCGTTTTTTTGATAAAAAAAAGGTCGCCAGTTTTTTGGGGAGTACTCGAGTATTTTTTGGAATACTCGTTAAAGAAAGTCCGAGTGCGATGATGAGTACGAGTACTAGGAATTTTGTACTCGAGTATACTCGTACTCGCCCATCTCTGGAGTCTATAGTAGGTCTTCTTCATCTTCACAAGTGGCTGTTGACTGAAAACGTTCGAGAAATCATTTGAAAATCTTTTATGTTATCATTGTTTAATTACGAAGCAGTTATTTATTCCCTCACAACTGAATATTCTTAAACTTAAGACCGTGCAATATCAGTCCCAAAAACTTCGTATTGAGTTAATCAAGGATATTCTTTTGAGCAGATCCATAACTTCAGTATCAAAATTCTTAAAATTTTCATCCCGAAATCACGAACTGCTATTCATGGAACTTAAAATCGGCTTTCCACAGTTAAACTATTATTTACATCAACGTCAACTTGTCATCGGCTAAGTGTATCTGTGGAAGAGGAAACGACACAATTGATAGCATGCAACAAATTATAGATGCCCTTGATTCATACTCAGACAAAACAGGCCGGTTTAAACATAGAAATAGAGTTAATTGAGCACTATGTTTATAGAAATTTAGTTAGTTTGATGACAAGATTTGCGCTCTACACGTCGCGTCAGCGTACTTTCGAAAGTTAGGTTAGGGTGAGTCTGAGCTGCACGGATAGTTAGCGGTGTTAATTGAGGGTAATTTTAGAAAATAAATATAAATTCGTCATTTATATTTAACAAATAAATATAAATAAATGAAAAACTTACTTTTATGAATTAAAGATAAATGAGTCTTACCATTATCTTTAAAAAAATAAAGGAATAAAGATTTTATGCTTCAGCAGGGAAATCTTAGTATGCCATCGTTGATGTCCTCACCCTCACCTCAAATCGTGAGCTGATTATTCCTGTTCAGTTGTCCAAATAAGTGGTGTTAAGTCATGATGAATTACCCAGATCGACTGAAACTAACCTAGCTCGAAAAAAGAAGATTGAATAGAACAAGCGCAGAGAGTTCCGAGAAAAAAACTATAGTCGTAGAAGGAGAATAGCCATTTATTTCATCTTTATTTCTTTATTTTTTGAAATTATGCCATCGATATCTTCTGATGCCTAGAAACATCTTCTGAATAAAGTACTTCGTCTGAATAATTACAAATTCTGTAGTCTTAGAACATTCCGCATCTACTGCATATATACTATAAAATCAAATCTTTATTTCTTTATTTTACCTTTATTTTTTAAAGATAATAGTAAGACTCATTTAGCTTTATTTTGTAAAAATAATTTTTTTTTCATTTATTAATCTTTATTATTTAAATATAAATGACGAATTTATATTTATCCATTATTATAAACGAACAATAAAACTAAACCAACATCCCTAACCATAGCAGCGCTCTGTTTGTTGATTTTTCTTTTTAAGAAATTTACGTTATTTTCTTTTTAAATATTTTTCACTTGTTTTGATGTGATTTATCCAAAGAACTGAAATATTTTTCCAGTTTTTCCAGCCGGCAGCTCTTTTTCTAAACCTTTTATATCTCTCATACATGATTAATAGGCATGAAAAAGAAACAAATTGAAAAGATTCATATACGGCAAAAACGCACAAGAAAAGTAAAAGCGGACTAACGAGAGAAACCAGCAAAAAACACTCAGAATCATGTATCATTCGTATGTAAAGTCGTATAAAATCAGACACGATCTTATGTACTCTTACTATTTCATACGTAAGATCTCATAAGATTAGTTCAGATCAGATCGTGCAATATCGTGTGTACGATTGTGATACGAAATATATAGTCTGGATCCTGTAACTTTTCAGGGACCACGATTTTGGCGTTGAGCGTACCAGTTCGTATATATGGATTTGTACAATTAGTCAAGATCATACCTGTTCATGTTCGATCATACAATACAATCGTATCTGATCATATCCGATCCTGTACGATCCGCTAGTACGATTCTTTGACCTGGGCAATAGCTAGTTTGACAATATCATATTTCGAAAAACGAATGTTTTGTGTCCACTTATATCCTCTCCATGTACTTGTTTACATCATGAACAATTATTTCAGGTACATTGGTGATGTGTAGGCGATTTGGAGTAATACAGATCAACAACTTCAATTGTTCATCGAATCACATAATAATATGCACCACTCTATCAAATGTATCATTAACTAGTTCGAGATGCGATATATAAAGCAAAACAACCATTTTCGCCTTAAGACAGAATACCAACATGCATACAGATAAAATATACTTTACAATCAAATATAATCCAAATAATCTGAATTTACTACCTAATGTGCGTGTTATCGCATCAACTGTTTTCTCTACTTCCCGATTGTTACACGACACTACCATACACACATCACACAGACCAGCGTTTTCGATATAACTCTGGCAAGGTGGGAAAGTTTTATGGAGCAACTCTAAAAATTTAGCTGATAGTCAAAATAAAACGGCTTTTAACTTTTCGGAGTAATTTTTTCTTAGGAGGAGGATGAATCTATGGAGAAAATACCATGATAGGTTTCATTTTGTACTTTTTTTGGGTTCAGTAGATAGTACCAAAGTAGAAAACATCTTTGACCGGAGAAAATTTATATCAAATAAATTGTTCTTTATAGAAACAATAGTTATTCAGTGAAACTCACAATATTTTTTGACTATCAAAGGTCGATTTCGAGCCTTCTGGAAGACGCAAATGAGTGCAGATGAACTCATTTTACATGTATTTCAGTTAGAAAATACGATATTAATAATTCTAGAATGATACATAGAAGAACCAGTTGAATTATCTCCATACGGGACCCTAGCCAGCCTAATATGTAACAAAATCGCGAGGAATCTATCTATTGAACCTAAAAAAAGTACCCAAAGAAACTTTTCCAGAAAGGTGGTATTTTTCTCATGGATTCATTCAGGAGCAAATTTTTTAAAATGAATGGAGTTATTGTTTCAAACAAGGTGGAGGAATTCCCCCATCTGCCCCCACCTAATCGAAATCGCTGATACAGATAGTCACCGAATTTGCGCCAAATACTCGCAGCGGCACAACCACATCCTAATCATTGTCCGAGAGCTTCACGACATCATCAACCAACCTGCGAAATGTGTCACATCATAATCGACATCCTCAATATATCTCAAGGCAAACGAACGCTTTCACAAATATTCACAAGAGGTTTATTATACCTACTCTCCATATAAAACGTCTCTGGATTGTGATACCAGCGCAAGATGGTAAACTGAGCTCTATTTTCGGTGGTTATTAAAACCGAAACTGGATAATTAAACCAGATTGCAATTGTGCAGCGCAGAAGTTGCGATGTCAACAGACTGTGCCTCTGCTGGTAGCTGCCAAGAGCGGTTCCACAGCGAGCAAGTTTTCACTACACCGTTTTCGATGTTAGTTTCTCTTAGGATGTTAGAAATAACAATGACTCATTCAATATCAATAGAACAGAGCAGAAAAGGAGAGATATTTATTTTCTTCTGACGAACAAATGGCGCCGGACAATTAGTTGCAGATGAACGTATGAAAAAATATATAAAAAATTTCGAAGTTTTTCACATATTGTTTCTTCCACTTCTTACTCTTACGGGACTGAATCCAGACCATTTTTCAAAAAAGTACATTCAATGGTCAATCAAGTACAAAGTACATCCAGTGTTCAGAAAACAATTTTCCGTTTTCAGAAATTCTCTACAATGCGTACTTCTCTAGATCATCCCATTCACATTTCGAAAAAAAATGACCAAACAATAAAATAAAAAAACAAAATTCCCTTCAAAACTCATAATGTCTGTCGGCATAAAAACTTCATTGTTCATTATTTTCAATTGAAAAGTTTTAATAAACCGAAACACGTTTGAAAATAATTTATTTTCTGTTTCTATTCAGTTTTCAATATTTCAGTCTACAAGGTATCTATCGCTTTTAAGCAATCCACATATACATATATATATGTTATATATATGACTAAAAATGTTATGTAAGATACGTTAAGATAGAAAAGACAATGTAGCAAGAAAACATGACGTAATATAAATAATGGTGCTACAATGGAGGTGCAAAGTTTGATCCGACATTCAGGCAAAAATAAAAGATTTTTCAAACCATAAATGTTATAAAACTTTTATTTACTGAGAAGTGAAATTTCTGAAAACCAAAAAAACCGTAAATAGTGCTAAGTGTACTCTACTTCTAGTATTAATTTAACCTACGAAATTCTTAAGTTAAATGAACTGCACTCTTATTGTCTTCATTGTAGAATTGTTTAACTTAAGATGTTGGTAATGATAAGTCGTTGTATGGTATATCTTAAAAATATGTGTTCGAATGGAAAAAACTTTATATACTAAAAGTTGTATACTTTATATACTTCCACAAAAAAACAATATATGGAGAATAAAACACTTTCATATTGATCTTTTGTAGTCTGGTACATGTTCCCACGCATAAATAAAATTACATTTGTTTATTTGCATAGATCTATGCAAATAGACAAATGTAATTTTAAGTAATATAAGAAACAAAACAGTTAGCAAAATATTCTCATGGTATCCACCCTAAAACTTTCTCTTGTGAAGGAGAAATTGACGCAGATATTCATTATTTTATGGTCTGATAAACAATTTAACATTTATAATCTGCAAATAATAAAACAGGTGAAATAGTGAAATTGTATATAAGATAACCTTAAGTCGTCATTATTTGAGGGTTACATTATAAGGATGTCGCATTTAGTGAAACTGTTCGTATTAATATGCGTTATTATTGTTTATTTACAGACTTCTAATGCAGAAGTTAGTTGTATTACAAACTGTACTTTTACATTTAATTTGACTCAATCATTTCAATTACCATCATCTTGTACACGAGTTAACTCAAATGGCTGTTTTACTGAAATCTTGATTGACTATACAAATCAAATAAATACAGTAAGATTTTTAACAAGTGGTCTAGAACAACAAGAATATGGCGCTGATTATCTAGTTTCGCAGACAATTGATATGACGTTTTATAATGGAAAGATAACGCGCGAATTCAACTATTATTGTTTTACAAGTGATGGTTGTGATGAACAATACGCTAAAAGAACGATTCCTCTACTCAGTCAAATAGATCATCAGCCAGTTTTAAACGAACTGCTACCAAATTTATATAGTTTAAGTAGTGAACTCAATGTAACTGAATGTTTTGACACCTCCAATAATCTTCTCAATTGTACAGATAAACTGTGTAGTGCAAGTGTACCGTCTAATCCTGACGCGGATGGATATAAAGGATGCGACGTAGTGGATGATCCAACACTCGTCAATATCGAAATAACATCATCTAGAGCGTATCCGACAAATGAGTCTTATGATACAAACGACATCGAGTATATCTGCAATATAAATCGTTGTAACGGAGCATCACAAACGAGTACTGTTCGAGTTATTGTCAATAAATATAATTCTTTATTAGAAATAATAGCACCAACAGATGAATCAACCGCCGCTTTCACGACTCAAGTAACCTCTCCACAAACAACAAGAACATCTACAGCAGTGCAAACAAGTTCAATTAAGATACCTATTAGTTGCATTACAAACTGTACTTTTACATTTAATTTGACTCAATCATTTCAATTACCATCATCTTGTACACGAGTTAACTCAAATGGCTGTTTTACTGAAATCTTGATTGACTATACAAATCAAATAAATACAGTAAGATTTTTAACAAGTGGTCTAGAACAACAAGAATATGGCGCTGATTATCTAGTTTCGCAGACAATTGATATGACGTTTTATAATGGAAAGATAACGCGCGAATTCAACTATTATTGTTTTACAAGTGATGGTTGTGATGAACAATACGCTAAAAGAACGATTCCTCTACTCAGTCAAATAGATCATCAGCCAGTTTTAAACGAACTGCTACCAAATTTATATAGTTTAAGTAGTGAACTCAATGTAACTGAATGTTTTGACACATCCAATAATCTTCTCAATTGTACAGATAAACTGTGTAATGCAGGTGTATCGCTTAATCCTGATGAGAATGAATATAAAGGATGCGACGTAGTGAATGATCCAACACTCGTCAATATCGAAATAACATCATCTAGAGCGTATCCGACAGATGCGTCTTATGATACAAACGACATTGAGTATATCTGCAATATAAATCGTTGTAACGGAGCATCACAAACGAGTACGGTTCGAGTTATTGTCTATAAATATAATTCTTTATTAGAAATAATAGCACCAACATATGAATCAACCACTTTCACGACTCAAGTAACCTCTCCACAAACAACAAGAACATCTACAGCAGTGCAGCAAACCAACATACTGCAATCTACACAATCAACAAGACCATCTACAGCAGTGCAGCAAACGAACATATTGCAATCTACACAATCAACAAGAACATCTACAGCAGTGCAGCAAACAAACATATTGCAATCTACATCGACAAATACAGCAGGCTCATATTCAACTTTCTGGTCAATGTCTTTTCTAATGGTGCTTATCATAGACCTATTTACTTTTCAAGCTATTCCTGGCTGATACTTGCATGGTATAATACCTGTACTTTCAATACGTTATATTAAAATTCTTCGATTTTTCGTGACTGATAACCTACATGTTTCAATCATTTTAGAAGTTTCAACAACTTTCATTTTAGAGAGTCTTGCAGCTTCAAATAAATTCGATGCCTAAAGCCTGATAGATGAATAGTTCGGATGACTTTCAATTGTGCAGTGGAGTTGTGTACCCTTTTCACTTCCCAACACTTGTGACTTTCAAAAAAATTGCTCCTGATCTCCTTGAAAAAATTATTTCTTACCAGTTTTCGTCACCAGTTCAATGGCTGTCATTCACTTTGTTTCTCAAGTTTTTCGTACGATTTTAAAGACTTTGACCAAAGCTCATACATAGGAAGATAGCGAATTATCTGCGCTTCAAATCGAGCTATTGAGAAGCTTTTCGAAAATATGCCCATATAGGACAACTGTCAAAATACTCAATAGCTATCATGATTTTCACCTATCTTAAGGCTTTAAAAGAATAATTTCTTCCATACATCTGCTCAGACCCAGAATGTTTTATGTAATGTTGTGGAGAGCTCGGAGACGTCTTATTTTCCTCAGAAATGTTTACTCTACCTCACTAAGCCATTAACACAAACTTACCGATAGAGGCCAGAATACCTGAAAGTACGGCTTTGGGTTTTCCCCAAATTCTGGTTTTTAAACATTCCGAGAAAATTTTGTATACGCCTCATCGGATAGAAAAATGTTTCAGCTGCTCAAAACATTCATTAGTATTCTTTTAGCTGTTGCGATTGACGAAAAAAATCAGAAAAAGAAAAAGCTCAAACTTATGTTACGTACACTGTGAACAAATAGGTGCATTTTCGAATAAAAAGTGCACTTCACGTGAGTCAAAGATGACTTCATTTTTGATCAGTAAGATGAAATTTCCATGTAAAAGACGCGCTGCGACGTCTTACGAAAGCGGCTGGATTCCAGTTTTATGTACCCATAGCATCTTGGTGAGACATCATGGATGTTGAGTCAAGACACTTTGAATATCTTTTCTCGTGTAAATCAAATGCATTTTTGATGCATATAATAAGACATCCTGATGTCCTTAAGACATTGAGGATGCGTTTAAGACGCGGGATTAGCCTTATAAAAGTAAGCTACTATGAAAAACATTTTATTTT